GTGGTTTCTCTTTGTGACACATTTTTCCCCACCCCACCTGTTGCTCTTCGACTCATTTCACCTGTGTCTTCTTGCAGGCTGGGTCTGATCATCACTATCTAACTATTACAACTCAAGTTATTTTAGTCTTTGCAGAGATTCAGTATTTTTATCTGCTGAAGTGTATTGCCTCTACAAAGGGGGCTGTAGTGATCAGACCAGCTGACAAAACAGCTGTTAAATGACAAGGTGTCTGTCACTGAGGAAGGCTCCGAAATTCTGGTTTTATCCACCCAAAATGGTCACACTCATTCTCATCAGGGAGTTGGTGGTTGGTTCCCATTAGGTTGTGATTTACATCTAGTTGGCAGTGCACAGGTGGAAAGAAGCCAAGTTTTCTATCAAGATGACAGTTTGGTAACAGATGTCTGATGTTTCCCAACACATTCGGCTCACATGATCAGAATCGTGAGCTAGTTTAGTAAAGCTGAGCAGCTGGGGAATTGCAAGCTTTGGCTCCTTGCATTTTCTCATTTATCCTTTTTAGCTGCCTAGGTAAGATGATTTTTCTTTTCTTCTTTTTGTACTTTTAGTTTTGGGAGGAAAAGCTTGAAATGTATTTCAGAGTAATCGTCATCTTAGGAGGCACTCATTTAAATAGTTGGAAACCTCCAGCAGTTCAAGAAGCCACGTATTTTCCTCTCCTGTTCCGCATAGCTGGCATTGCCCAAATGCTCAGGCTGTGGCTCCTTCTCTGCTGTTTCAAGGTCATGGGACATGTGGACGATGGTATTTACTCCTGATCCCCCTGATTACTGTGGCTTCTTGCATGTGATGCCTGTCCGTGTTGAAGAGTAGCTGGATCAAGGCATTTTAATTAGTGACTCCTTAAGAGTATGTATTTTACTGGGAATGAGAGAAAGATGTGGTGGACCCAAGCCCTAACTCTTTCATGAGAGGACACTGATACCCATTAGGGCAAGATCATTACAGAAAGCCGGTAATTTGAGTGAGGTTTCAGTCGGTACCTCTGTCATTCAGGTTTGCAAGAAACCTTGAGGAAGAGCTTGGGAGGTTCTGCAGGGTGCTCATGTTTGACCAAGATCTGAACGTCTTCTCTGTGCTGACAGCCCTTATGGAGAAGATACCTCTCTTGTTAGCTGGAGTGGAATACAAGCTTGGGCAGGATTGGTTTGGTGGGGTAGGTTACAACCTGGTTTCAATAAGCAAAAACATCCCAGTGAGAGTGCATTGGGAGTTGATAACTGGCATCTCACAAGCTCTTGTGAAAATCTCAGCCTGAATTTTAAAAGTTCTTTATTAAAGAACAGGTTTTTTTGTTGTTCCTCCCTATTTGGATCACATGCTCTCTGTATCTTTTCTACTTGAACACTTCCAGCTATGATTTTCCTGGCATTTTAGCCTGTGATAGCTGGGGCAAGAAGCACAGTTACTAAAATATCTGGAGAAGGACTCTTTATTAATTCTAATTCAATTAGTCAGAAAACCCCAGAAATCTCAGTATAGAAAGTTTGAGCCTTGCATCCGCATAGTTCCAGAATGTCACTGAATGCAGGCGTGATGCTAACCAGCATTGATGCCTCTAAGCTTGCCCAATATGTCTTCCCAGTACATCTCTTAGCTATTAATTTAGGAACTTAAATCACCAACTCTTCCTGAGATCAAAACATCACTTTCTCATCTGAGTCTCTGAGCATGTCTCTGAGCATGGGCGTATGGCTGCATACTTGGAATATAACTGCCTTTCTCGTTAGACTGCTAAGTACCAGATGGGAGTGTGCTGTGGCATCCGCAAAGTGGTACCCAGAAGATACATTGTCCTGACCCAGCACACATCTATTTTTCTCACAGAGTGCTGAGTTCTTTCCACATCAGCTCGCACAAGTGTGGTCAAACCGTTTCTACCATTCATCCCATCTCTGTTACATTCCCAGGGTATATCCCAAGCATCCTTCCCAGTAGTTGAACATAGCAGTTTTCTTCAACCTGGTCCAGAACCAAACATTTTCCTACAGCCACACCAAATATTAATTTTAAAATTTCTGTATGTCTTTGCACTGCCCTCCCAATGCCTTGAAAGGGTCCTTTTTCTTTTGCAGGAGATAAAATAAGATATCACATATGTTTTTCACTATAATTTTGTCAAGTGAGGAGCAAAACCTTGGGAGTTTCTGTTTAGGAAGCGGCATGCTCAGATTTAGGAAATTGGAGAACAGAAGTTGAATTCATATTCTAAATTTCAGGATGAGGAATATACCCCGACTTGTGATTTATGAGATGACTTGGGAATATTTGCATTTTGGTATTTTTTATTTAAGTGACTGAAGAGATTTATTCTTAAGCTCTGCAAGGCTGAAGCATTAAACTCCTGTTTATGGGAATTTGATTTGAAAATGGACCTTGACCTTTGTAGCTGGGAATAAAACAGAATTCAGATATGACTGTTTTTACTAAGCATGTGAAGGGCTTGCTTGATTGATTTTACACATGTTGTGGTTTTACTCTATATTTGTGGTATTTCTTTTGGCTTTTGGATGCCTGTTGCACAGTATCTAGAAAACTGCATCAAATTTGTTTTATATGCTTCATTGCACTTGTATGTACTAACTACACATAAGCAGTCTGTCAAAGAGTTAGCCAAGAGATTTCAAAAAGCAATCATGATAATGAAAGTACATTTTCTAAGCAAAATTATAAATGAAAACTTTTTTACTAATTTAAAATCCATCAGCAGAGCTTTCGGCTTCTGCATCTCAACACACAAAATGATAAGGAGTTTGGGACGGGAGCAGAAGATCCTGTCTCCCATCAAAGCAAGGGGTTTTGGGGAGAACTGGTGGAATTTTCAGGGGCTGGGACTAGTGCCCTTCCTGCCTTGCCAGCACCATGCCATGTTTTACCTAGTTCTTGTCCTCTCACATTGCATGATGTGAACCCTACATCATTTTTGTAGGAGTTGGCCATCTTTCAGGATAAGAGGTATTAAGGGAGAAAAAAACATTTCCCTTAACTGTTCTGGATGTTTTTGGAGACCCTAACCCTTCTGACACACTGCTCTTTGCCATCCCTCATCCCCTGCTTGCTTAGCATTGGGAAAACCTCACTGGTTGCCCAGGGGAGAAGATGGGGTTGCTGGTCCCCTGCTTCCCTGGGAGCATGAGCTGGCTTCCTTCTGCTCCCAAGCCTTGGGCAAAGGGTATGCAGGGCTTCTTGACCTGAAGGTTTGCATCCGTTGTTTGACTCCTGCAAGGAAATTTTGCATGCTGGGATTTCATCTTCCTAGTAATTATAAATCATTAAGGGTATTTAACTGGTCTATACACTTATCATGAAAATTAAACCCATCTCATTGCTCTGTCATCCCCAAAATTATGTGTCTGCTGTGATTTAGAAGGGAATGAATAAATGCGTTTTTCATGTAGTAGAGGTTTTTTAGTGTCAGGTTTAGTATGCACCTCATGACGCTTATGAAGGAATCGATAAGCAGCTGAGTCACACAAGGTTATCCCAAGTTCGAAGCAGGCTCAGTACTGATTGCTTTCCAAAATCGGATGCACCAGGCTGCTGTGGCCACAGGAGCAAGGTCACCGAGGGGATCTGGTGACAGTATAAATAATAAAGCAGAGCTTAAGTGATTTGTTGACAGCACCCCTGGGATAAAATTGCGCTTTATTGCATTGGATTTGGGGCTTGGTGATGTGAGCTTTCACCTTTCTTGACAACTCTTTTTATCTGTCCCTTTTAACTTCAAATTCATTTTTCGTTATTCTTTCTCTCCCAATGTCACTGCCGTTTTAAATAGCCTAAAGAAGGCGATTTGAAGGGAGTCAGTCAGGAAATCAATTCCATCCCATTCTTGAATTGGCGACAGGTGTGACAGGCAAGGTGCATCAAAAAGGTAGACAGGTGGATGTGTGTATATGGCCATGGCTGACACTGTGATGTTTTATCTTGTCATACACGAATGAAGCATCCAGGTGCAACAGCAGGTTATGCTCTGTCTGTTAATTGCAAGATATTATGGCTAAAATTAAGCACCCTCCATGCCTCTCTTCATAATCCCGTCAGCGCTCTTTTCCCATACAAGTCTGTGTCACCAGTGGGCAAAGGTTGTACATGCACGGGGACTTCTCTGGCAGCTGAATGTCAAACTTTATTGAGTGGGTGGATCCTTTTATCCATTTCCCCTCCGAGCCTTTCTAAAAATACCATAAACCTTGACAAGGAACTATTTTAAAGGAATCATATTCATGAGGACAGTCATGGGAAGCTTATTTTGGCAGGCTTGTATGTGTTTGATTTGCATGCTTCCTTAGTCAAGGGCTTGGTGAACCTGCGTTGCAAGCCAGTTGGACATGGGCTTAAGAGAGAGCATCTGGATTTTGGGACCTCCTGGGTCGGGACATCTACTCCAAGTGAGTTTATAGGAGGAAAAGAAGATATTCTCATAGAAATGTTGATATGTGACTGAAGTCATTCATTTCAGGCATTTGCACACCAGCCTGCAGCTTATCGGATCTGATTTCATAAAACCTGGCTGTGATTTCTCTCCAGGGACCTTAATGATCTTGCCACTTTCAATAAACATTTATAGAAACTACTGCCAGCCTGTGGATAAGAGAAACTCCTATGAGAGACTTTATCATCCAAAAATACTTAAAGACAACCAAAAAAAAAAATCACCAACAAGAAGATCAATATAAAATGTCAAAATGTAGTGTTTGTTGGGTAGCTGGAGCTGAATTACAGTACCAGACATTTGCATTGTAGGCATGCAGCAGATACGTTTGCTTTTCTCATTTGGAAAACGGTGTACATCGGAGTGATGCTATAATTGGGACCAGCAAAACAATGAATGTGAATAAAAGCAAACTGTAAGATATAAGATGGAAATTAAGCAGGTAACGGCTGTTCCACACTCATGCCATTCGGGTACAGTATTGTGCAGTACTCATGTTTGCACCTCTAAGAAATTTCCATTTTTTCGCATAAAAAAATCCAGATACGAAGCCGAAGCTGCCTTCTTTGCCAACCTGAAATTGTCTGATTTCAACATCATTGACACCCTTGGAGTCGGAGGGTTTGGGCGAGTTGAACTGGTGAGTAACCTTTTCTTCTTTGAAATTTGCGTGGTGTCCTAGAAAAAGCAGTGTGTTATGAGTCTTTTAATTTTTCTTTCATATTACACCTGAATAACTGGAAGAAAATTATGTGGTGGGATTATGTATTTTCTAATGGTTTAAGAAAGGTGCATTTCATTAATAATAAATGCTTTGCAGTAACCAAGAAGAATTCATGTACTAGGCTGAGAGAGGAGCACACATCTTCTCTTTCCAAGTGTTCCTATAGTTATGGCATTGATTGCCTTTTACCAGCAACTTGATGAGCTATGTGGCTGTTGAGTGAAACCTAAAATCTTAGTCCAAACTGGTGTAATGATATCTTGTTTAGCAGTTTCTACTTCAGGTCTTGAGATAGATCTACTTGGTTATTGCAAAAGCTGTAGATTTGATGTTTGAATTCTGACAGTGCTTCACAGAAAACTACTTAATTTTTGCAAAGTTTCAGAGAAAGGACAAAATCTGAGCTTGCTTTTTACTCTGCTTGGATTTAGAGCTCTGTAGTCTTTATTAAACAAAGCCTGAGCAGGAGGAGACTGAAGCAGCAGCCATTGGGTGACCTGTTTGAAATACCATGTAAATACAAAAACTTAGAATAGAAAGAGGGAGCTTAGTTTCTATCACAGTGCTGACCACGGAGGAGCTTTTGATACCGGACACTAGTACAGTATGTTAGGAACTCCTAACATACTCCTCCTAAGTTGGGAGCAGAAAAAGGAACAGAGTTACTGTTGCCATCATGAAACCTCAGGGAAATCCCCACTTAACCCTGCAAGAGCCAAATGGACCTGCAGTGTTGGGAACTGGAAAATCAGCCAAAGTGTTTTGGTGAATATTTGCGATGGTAACAGGTAAATTCTGTGCTAGAAGTGTGACTGGCTCTTTGATGTAATTTATTTCTGACTTCTCCTGTTTGGGTGTATGTAAAAATGTGTGGAGGACAGCACGTCCATGAGAGCATTGGTCCCTTCCTGGGGTTTGGTTCTTTATTGATTTGTTTATTCAATTGATGTTAGCAACTGTTGTTGAGAGTCACAAGAGCTCATGCATAGCCTGTGGAGGCTGTTGTTGCTGCACTCCTTCTATAGTCATCTGCTGTGGAGGATGCTTTAGAGAAGGATTTTCATTCAGGTTGCACTGAACCTCCCTTTTGAAGGCCCTTTCCCCTCTGTTGACAACAACATAAAACTCAGGAGATTTGTCTCCTACATTAACATGACAGCTCACTTCTGTGCCTGAGGTGACCTGTAGTGAGGGACTCATCAGTCTGGGGCTTGTTTTGAATCTTGTGAAGGAGCTTGTGAGGTTTGTTTTCAATTTTAAGGCTTTTTTTGACGTGTGCTGTCAAACTTTGAAGACCTAAGATGTTCCTGGGAAGGTGCATGAGTTTGTCTGCATGAAGGGTTGCTTATGGGACCCTCAAACCACACAGATACAAAGGCAAACTGGACTGTTACTGATGGGCATGGGCCAGTCCTCTACCGTTGGCTGCTTACAGAGTTAATTTGGAAGCTTTAAGATATTGACATCTGAAATCTTGAAGTCTTGAAATCTCAGCAACGCATGACATTTGGCCAGGTGTGAGGAGGAGCAGGAGTGGACCTGCTCTGTCACTCTAACGTATCAGATCACAGTTGGGTAAAGATGCTTAATATTTAGGAAATGTCCAAATCTCAGAAGCCTTCATGAAGCCTTGGTGTCACCTACACAGCCACAGACAGGAGAAATGTTTCCATTACCTCATAGGCATTTTCTTCAGGGGTGCATTTAGCACACTGCCACTGCTCTAATAAGCAGGGAAATGCTGGTTAAGATAATTTTCTGTAGTTCTTAAATAATAGTGAATCACACAGAGAAGGATAAAAGATATTTAAAAGTTTAGCTTAATACTCCAAATGTTATTATTTTTCTTTACCACCAAGGGAAATTTTGTTATTAAAACAAGAAAATACTCTCTTTGTCAAAACTGAGCCTAGAATTGCTACCTCTTGCTTCTGCCTTCTCCATGAAAAATATGTTTTATCATTTAAGGCTAAAAAAATGAACTAATGCAAAATGTATCAGAGGAATTGACTCTTACTGCCTGCCTGTGTTAACAGTAGCCTGCTGGCGCACAGCAGCACTGGAATTTGTTCCTGGAAAGAATTCACAGTTTTGCACTTCCCAAGAGTAAAATTAATTGAATAAATAAAGTACATTGCAAGGAAGGGGAATTTTATATCTTAACCTCGGGCAACACCCCAGCAGAGGATCTCTGTATCCTTCAAGAGGACGACTGGTGGTGTCTGGTTGGAAACTGGAATGTCTGTCTCAATTTTGGGTCTTGCTGGCCAAGTAGCAATAACACTCCCATTGGCCTGTGTTTTAATTTCCAGCTGTGGTTTGCATCAGTATACGCTGCTTTTCCAGACACCTCTGTGAATGCTGGCTATTTGGAGAGGTAACCCCTTCCATTCAGTCGTACTGAAGTATATGGCTTTTAGGCAAGATAGCCTGAAATTGAAATAATTTTCAATCCTGTGGCGATTACACGTGGAAATACCTTTTTGTCCTGATTTTCTAGTTAGTTTTATTTTTGTACGTCGAGACATTTCCAACAGATTTGCATTGGTGTTATACATAGTTTGCTCAGTTTTTTGATGACTGCTGGATGCTTCTTGCAAAATGTCTTGTCCGTATGGATGCTGTTCTCCTTCTTTATCCCCAACTGGACTATGTAATCAGCTTTTATCCAGGCTTCTCTCAAGTGGAGAAACTGGCTGTGCTGTTTTAGACAGGGACCAGCTCTGCCACTGGAACAAGAGCAAATAAAGGCTTTTGTTCCCTTACAGCAGGACCTGTGTGATCCTCAATGTTTGAAAAGCAAGCAAATGAGTTGGAAAGACCACAGTCTGCCCAGGCCCAGCCAGTGCCACATTCCTAGGGCAACCCTCCCGCATTTCAGAGGGCTGCCAAGTAGGCGCAAGCTGCTCCGGGACACGGCTGGCGGACACGTCCCTTAAGAGAGCAGAAAGAAAACAGTAGGAATGGACTCCTTGGTTTTTAATAGCATGGATTAACAGATGCATCCACTGTTTTTTGCAGCTCAGATTCTCAGCATCGTGTCAGTTGAGCGTCTTTTGTGTTGGGATCCAGGTGCCTCAGTAATACGTTGGGAAAAGGGAATGTCAGCTCAGGTTCATGTCCCACAAAACTCTGCTTTGCAGAGAATGGAGATGTAGGTCACATGTCCTCAGCCTTCATAAATCATTTCTGCTGAACTTTATTGCTCATGTCTTCGTTCTTTAATTTCCTTTTAATTTAAACCCTGTATTTCTAATCATCTGCCCCAGGTCAGTTATTTTGGATTTAAATCAAGATTATTTTAGACAGCTCTGAAATAAATGCATCAGTGTATCTGAACATACAGGGTTAGAGTCATTTCTGCTGTGAAATCAGTCTATGTAGGTGATGGCTGGGCACAGGTAGAGTGAAAATCAGGTTGACAACTGAACATATGCCTTTTGGTCATATTGATTTACACACTTATCGCTTCCAACAATCACTCAACAATGCAGGAAGGAGAAGATTTTAAATTACTCCTGTTATAAAATCGCAAAAACATTTTCTTCACATCCCATTGCAAGGTTGATTGAGAGCTGGTTTCAGCTATGTCTTTGTTCCCTTCTCAGGGCAGATAAGCCAGTGAAAACCTACAGGCTTATTCACTGTCCCTGCATGCATGCAAGCTTGGAGGAAGCAGTGCCTTCTGCACTCCTATGGGTGACATATGGTTTGGGATGTCCTGAAGGCAGTAGGCAATAGGCAGATTAAGGACAGTCTCAACTTTTAGCCCTGACTCGATAAAACATTTGACCATATGTTTTAATGTTCAGCAGTTTTCTGGAAGTTGGTGGCACTTAGAACACACATTTCAACCATATTGTCATTAAACCTCGGGCTGGAAGGGATCTAAAGAGATCGTCGTCCTGGCAGCGTCAGATATACCTAACCACTTCTGACCAGTTTTCCCTGATTTGTTGTTGAAGTCGTTAGGGAAGGAGATTCTCAGGAGGAGTTTTCCTAATACTTAACATGTCCCTGCTGTAGTTTGTAGTAAGCTTGAAGTACATATGAATACAACCTTTGGGGTTGGGTTGCTTTGATTTGAAAACTGTTCTCATGTGAACCTGAAAAACTCCTTTCTTTAAAAGAATAAACAAGCTTCTTCTTAGCTTTACATCTAATTCATGCTTTCTAGGCCCATGATCATTCTTGTTCCTCACTGTCCAGCTGGCTCTCACCTCTTTATAGTGATGCCCAAACCAGGCACGTTAGTCCAACTGGGACCTTCCTCTGTTCAGGTAGAGCCAGACAACCAGGGGCAGCACTTTGCTGCTACTAAACAGTGTCCCTTTTATTTCAAATCATCACATAAATTTGTAAAAATTAATTTGAATTCCCTTGCTCTTCTCAAAAATGCTCCCAGCCCTCTCTGGCTTTATTTTAATAGATGCAAAGTTGGAAACACTCTTATTATTTCATAATCCAAGCCATTAATGAAAGTGTTTTGTGGTGTCATATACTAAACAGACCCTTGAAGTACTTTTGGCTGGATGGTGGCCACTAAGAGCTAAAGTCTTTTACAATATGGGGATTCATAAAGACACACACACAAAAACAAAGCCTTAGTTTCAGCCAGATTTTACTGAGGCTGTACAAGACCCTTTTAAAATGGACAGTGTGGCATTTTTCATTTTTATTCATGTTTTAAGAGAAATCTGGACACAGATTCTGAAGTGCAATCAAATTTATTATAGCCTCTAGCCTGTTTTGTAAACAAAACCATTAGTGAATTAATTAGATGGTAAGGAAAAAAACTGCCATAATTGTCTTCCAATAGACTGGCAGATGCATAATTCAGATATTTATTAGTGGAAATTTCCAATTGCATAGCTATCCTTTTGTTCCAGCTATTACAAAGCTTTTTATTAGAAAGA